TGCCTCGCTGACCGTGCACTTTGATGAGGGTTCGAATGCAACCACAGATTTTAATGCAAAAAATCACGAGGGGGCCACCACTTAAATTTAGGATGTCCACAGGATTACGTGATTACAGGAATTACACATGAATTTTTTCGAATTACGCATTAATTTTGTTGAATTTTAGGCTTTAAAACCATTGAATTTGGACAATAAGGTGAAATTTGGTGATATTAGCGTTAATAATTTTAAAATTTGGTCAAGTATTCCACGGATCACAGAAGGATTTCATATGGATTACACCCTCATCTGTACACAGGATTACGCGAGTGGTGGACCCCTCCAAAAATCGTCTTTTTAATATCTTATTAATGACTTAGAGTTGTAGTTCTACTGCATTTATTATAGAATTCAGAACACAAATTGGAGAACATCTGCGCTTAGAGTAGAAAAACGGGGGGGGAGGGGGGCTTCGCCCCTCCCCTGTCGTATTTTGGGGGGGAGAGGGGGGCATTTGGCCAACCTGTGGCTCAATTCAGCCTCTGTTAACGTGGTTTTTTGTTCGATGATGATGCTGTTTCCGGCAGGCTGCCATCTATCGGCTGGGGCCTGAACGGCTGTTGCACCGCCCTGGGCCTCGTAGTTTACGTAACTGTCACTGCACATCTTACTCAGCCCCTTGATGTTGCCTTTTACTGAACCATGAAAGCTGCTTGGCGCGGTGTCCTGAAAGACTGGAAAATAAAGTGCGGTGATAAAACGGTGGCCATAGACCAACTTTCCAAGGCTGCTAAAGGAAATGCTTGATAAAATTGGCATGCACAATGATTAATCTCTTCAAGCTAGATTTCTGAAGTGTAACGTTTGCCATGTAGACAGGCAAAAAGTTTTAGTTAGAAATTCTAGGAACTGCTCTGGTGCTGTTGTATAGTTGGCTACACTGTCAACACTAATTTGTCATACACTCTCAGTCAGACCTGTACTGATTTATTTATTAGTAGCTTATAAAGTTTTTTATGCAGCAGGATTACTGACTAATTTGTTACTTATTCTGGATAACGTTGTAAGTACCTCACTGATAAAAGAAAAATTTGTCAGTAA